TAAATAATCCTATTAAGTGAAAGAAACAGAATACAAGTTTGGAAGTATGGAATAGCCATAAGTATATAAAATAAGCATGGAAGAAAGACTGGGAGAAAACATTAACTGGAAGTGGGTGACTTTTGCCTTTACTTCTTCCTGTTGCATCAACTGTTTCAGAGGTACATGGAGATGTAGATAGTCACTCAGCCAGGACTGAGCATGAGAAACACAGCCTCGTTCCTGATGAAGCCCCTCAGGGACCCTCCCTACTCCTCACCCTCACCCCCGGTGTAACCTCTCTCTATAGTTTTATTATTTTTGGATGGGTTCCTGAGCATTACATACTATTTTAAATATGATGAACTTCACATACATGGTAAAGTACCACATGTGTACCTCTGTGACTTGCTTTTTCAGTCAACTGATCCCTTTTCGATTTATCCAGGTTGACTCATGTTGATTAATCTAACCCTGGTTCATTCAGTAAGTAATCTTTATTTAAAAACTGAGAACAGGACCTGGACCATGGTGCTACATAAGTTCTGGAGGGGGTGATAAATAAAAATCCGTGCTCACTGCAGTAGAGTACACTGTTGTGTTAATACCACATTAAAAAATATGTATCCACTCCCCTAATGATGAAAAATGTACACTGTTTGCATTTTGTCTTCATCACCAGCAATGCTGTTATGGACACATAGTCCCTGTCTCCTTGGGCATGTGTGTGAGGGTCTCTGGAGGGCACAGCCTAGGGCTGGGCTGCAGTGTTGTGAAAGACGCCTGGCTTCAGCGTTTCCTAGTTACTGCGACTTGTTCCAAAGTGATCACACTAGCAGTGGATGGGTCACTGTGTTCCCCATCCTCATCACCACTTGCTGTTGTCAGAGTTGTTCATTTTCTCCCCAGTTTAATGGGTTCATAGCCTTATTTCATTATGCTTTTAATTTGCATTCTCCTGGTTACTATGAGGATAGAGGTTGGGTATCTGTTCATAGATACATAGATTCATCTTTACTAGTCATTTGTGTTTTTTATTTGTAAAATCCTGTCATAACCTTTTTTTATTTTTTCTATTGCTTGTTGTGATTTTCTAGTTGATTTTAAAGAATAGTTATATAATTGGATATTAATTCTTTGTCAGATGAATGTGTTGCAAATACTATAATTCACGTTGTGGTTTGTCTTAATTTTGATGGTGTCTTTTAAAGCACAGAAAATTTAAATGTTAATATAACTTACCTAATTTTTATAGTTTGTACTTTGAGTGACTTGGTTAAAATACTCTTTCTCATTCCAAGGTCGTAAGTCTCCACATATTTTCTCCTGAAAGTTTTAAGTTTCTGTTGCTTTATATTTATTCTTACATCTACCCAGGATTGATTCTCTGTAACAGGGGCTGTGGAGAGCACTTGCTCATATGTACAACGATGGTCCTAGAGCCAGTTAGCAGGCAGCCTGCCCTTCCCTGGCTGTCTGGAACGCTGTCTTCACCACAAATCAAACTTCCCAAAATACACTGGTCTGTTTCTGCACTCACCGTTTTGTTCCATTGGACTACTTGCTTGTCTGAGCAGCATCATCCTCTCTTAGTTACTGTACTTTCATAATAAGTCTTGATTTCAGGATGAGCATGCTTTCCCATACTTTTCAAGACTATTGCAACTGTTTGGGGTCCTTTACATTTTCATGCACATTTTGGAATTAACTTGTTTTACAAAATCTGTAGATGATACTGGCCAGCAGTATCCATCTCAGCTGCAGATGCTCGTCAAAACACGAGAAAAACATACACAGAGACAACCAGGTCCTGTGGGGGAATAGGGACAGAAGGGCCACTCTTTCTTGTGGAGAGCGCCATGGCTACTCTCTCTAGTGGAGAGCGCGCCGTCTTCATTCCCAAGCAGATTTTTATTGAGAATACAGACTTAGTTTGTGGATTCACAGTCTGGCAGAAAAGATCAAAAAAACTAGGTGACTTACAAAGATACAGACAGAACTCCTGCTGTGATTCTGGGCAGAGCTTGGGGTTTTATCTAACAGGGCTCAAAGGGCTAGTTTTGGTTTCCTGTCTGTGCCTTCAAATTCTAATCTAATAACATCCTCCAGCAAGCAGATCTCACAGGATCTTGCATATTCTATGCCCCAGGCCTCATTACCCCGGGGGTCCACCATTTCTAGTCTGGGCTGCACCACCCCTGCAGGACTGAGTTAACAGAGAAGACAAAGGCAGCCAGGAGACTTGGATTTCTCACAAGGACTCAGGCTTTGACAAAGCTGAGGGGGCATGGGTTGATGTCGATCACCCCTTCATTTCCACAGCCCCGTGAGTCTCTTATCTTAGGGCATGCCCACATGATTGTGTCTGTCTTAGATTCATTCTCTTTCTTAGAGAATTGTTACCCGTCATTGACTGCCGATCATGCCAGGGAAATAAGTTTTGTCTCCTTAGTGACTCCTGGTCCAGAGGTCTTTCACTCAGCCTAAGTCAAGGGGGATTACAGCTTCCTTACAGACCAGGCAAGGCAGTCCCCAAAAAAAATCTTTGTAGGGATTTTGATTTATACAATGACTTCATACATTAATTTGGGGAAATCAAAGTCTTTATGATATTCAGTTGTCCTATTGATAAGCATGGCATATGGCTTCACTTATTTGGGTCTTCTTCAAAACCCTGCAGTAAGTTTCGTGTTTTTCACAGACATCTAACATCTTTTGTTTGATGTTTCCTACATGCTTTATCTCTATATTTCTGTAAAATGACAGCAGTCTCCAGGAGTCACTTTTACAATTTTAAAAAATCTTTATTTATTATTTTAATTGTGGATCTTTTCTAGTATTGAAGAATTTAAATGGCATGCAGGCTGGGGTCATGGCCGTATTGTCTATTCTATACCAGTTTTCTGAGATTTAATAAAAAGTATAGAGGTTTTGGAGGAAGGAAGGGGCAGGAGAATTTTATTTTAATGCACTTAAGAAATGGAAAAAGAGGTATGTGAGGGAGAGATAGAAGTGGGAGAAGAGATTTTAAATAAATAAATAAGTAAATGAAAGGTGTGAAACATGCAACGAAAACTCAACTGCCCACCTCAGGCTCTCAGGCCCCCAGTAACCTTCTCTAAACATCTGCTGCTGATAAATTCTTGTAATATTTTGGTCTCCTACAATTATGTATATGATGCTTTCCCCAAATCTATCTTATCTATTTTTGACACAAATGGAAGAACAAAAAAACACAGTTTCTTGTCTGCACATAAAGTCTATGTCATTTTAAAAATAACTACAGACTTTGGATCAACATGGAGGCATAGGTAGATACACTTTGCCTCCTCGTACAACCAAAGGAAGGACTAAAACACATTTAAAAACAAAAACTAACAAGAACTGCCAAAAAATTGAACTGTATGGAAGTCTGACAGCTAAGGAGTTAAAGAAGAAACATCATTCAGACTAGCTGGAGGGGCAGAGATGGGCAGCCAGGGTGGAGATAGCATAGGCAGCAGCTGGTAGACCTGGGCAGACCTGGGCAGACCGGGTTGGGCAAGGTTTTGTCTGGCAGACCAGGTGGTCCCACATTTGCAAGCGCATAAACAGGGAGGAACAACTGGGGAGCAAGACAGACCACACAACCCAGGGTTACAGCACAGGGAAGTAAAGCCTCAAAACCTCGGACTATAAAACCCTGTGAAGGTTGTGGTGATGGGAGAAAAAGTGGCATTAACTACATTCACAATGGTGTGTAACCGCACCACTGCTACACCCAGAACTTTTTCATCATCCCCAACAAAAACTCTGTACCCATTAAACAGTAACTTCCCCTTCCTCCCTTCTCCCACCCTCTGGTAACCTCTCTTTTATTCTCTGTCTCTGTGAATTTGTCTGTTCGAGGGAAGTCATATAAGTGAGACTATACAATATCTGTCCTTTTGTGTCTGTCTATTTCACTAAGCACAATATTATCCAGGTACCGGCATGTTGTAGCATGTGTCAGAATTTCATTTCATTACTGAATAATATTCCATTGTACATATTTTCCTTATTTTGTTTATTCACTCATCTATTGATGGGTACTTGAGTTGTTTCCATCTTTCAGCTATTGCAAATAATGCTACTATGATCATTGGTATATTATAAATATCTGCTTGAGTCCCTGCTCTCACTTCTTTTAAATATATGCATAGGAGTGAAGTTGCTGGGTTATATGGTAGTTCAATGCCAAATCTAATTTTTTATAAGATCAATAGATATTTCATGGCTACCATTAGGGACAAAGGGGAGAGATCACATACAAATAATGTTAGAAATTAGAAAGGCCATATTACACCAAATATAAAAGAGATCAAAATAATTATAAGAAAATACCACATACAATTCTGGCACCCAACTCAAAAATCTAGAGAAGATAGCTGGATTCCTAGAAAAATACAAATTGACACTAAAAGAAAGAGAAATTTTAAATAGGTTACCACAGAAGAAACTAGAAAATAAAACTAATATAGGAATAAAATATACTTCTTAAATATGATCAAGAATAATTAGCAAAAGGCAATAGCAAATAATTTATTAAACAGTGAGACCCTCAAGCTATTCCATAAGCACAAGGAGAGGATGCTCACCACAGTCACTGTTATTCAATATTATGTTAAAGGCTCTATTGCATTATTAAAATGAAGTGAAATTATAAGAACTAATTCTTATAGCAGAAAAAAATAATTTCTATCTGCAGCTGATATGATTGTATACTGAGAACCTAAAAGACTATAGTAAAAATTCTACTAGAGAAGAAATAAATAAGCAAATAAATAAACAAGATGTTTATGGATTGTAATTACTCTGCAGGACATAAACGGGGTAAGGATAAAGAGTCGCTAGGCAAGGAACCCGACCCTAGTCAGGCTGGCCAGGGAAGGCTTTTCTGCAGGAGAGACCCAGGAGCTGCACCTGAGCATGGAGAAGGAGGAGCTCAGGGATGGCACTCTGCCAGCAGGGACAGTGTGTGTCTGGGCACACTGGCGGAACAGCGAGAAGGCCCAGTAGTGTGGCAGCATCTGGGACAGAGGGGTGGGGGTGAGACATACAGGTCAGGGTAAGGAGTTTGAATTTCATTCTAAGAGCCAGAAGAAGAGAAGGACCTTACAAATCTGATTTTTTGTTTCTAAAAAGAACATTCTGTCTGCTTCATAGGGAAGAAGGCAAGAGGAGCACGGAGAGACCAATTAGAAAGCTATTGCTGTTGTCCAGGTGGGAAATCACCACTGGCTCAGGGAATAGCAGTGAGGTGAAGACGCATGGGGAGATGTGAGAGGTATGTTGGAGCTAGAACTCAGAATGAAAGGATGTGGGGGTGTTAGTTTTTCCTGGTACACCTTTACTGGCCTCTTTGTTTTCAAACTGTGTCATTTTGTTTTAGCTGTGTGTCTTAGGAACAGAAAATAGGTGTTCCTAGGTTTTTTACTAGGAGACCTTTTTAAATAGAGGAACTTAATGCATCTTCAATCATTATGATCTCTGATATGTTTTTTCTTCTCTTATATACTTTATTTTATTACTATTTTTCATCCCTCATCAAGGACATATTTTCATTGCTTTTTAGAGAGGGAGAGGGTGAGACATTGATGTGAGAAAGAAACATCAGGGACTGGACCCACCAGCTTTTGGTATGCAGGATAACGCTCCAACCAAGTGAGCCACAATGGCAGTGCTCTTTTATAGATTTCTGCCTCCATGATTTCCCTATCCCTTGGTATTTTATTCCTGGTTCTTCAAGAACTGCTTGAATTTCCTTGGTTTCTTCTTTTATAAAGCATCAGTGATTTAAAAGTTTATCTCCTATTTCTAGTCTTCCGGTCTAGGGACTGATCACAGTCTCAAGACTGACATAAAGTATTACCCTTACCCCTCTGTTGACCTTTTCCCCCTCTCCTTTTCCCCTTCTTTAATAGGCTCCAAAATCTTTGGGAATATTTCCAACCCTTTTTAGTGGTGAGTTTCCACATGAATGTGTGGAGCTGTCTGGTCATATGTATTCACTGTTCCCTCAAGGAGAATGAAGTCCTGAAAGGCATGCAGGCCCCTGACCGGGACACGGAGGCAGGAGGAGGCAAGAGGAGGCCTCCCGGCTGGTCTGGACTGGGACTGACTCAGACCTGGCTCACTGGAGGACCAGACCACGCTCACTCTCCAGAGGCCCCCTCCGCACTCCGGCTCCCACCCTCACCCCTTACCTTACTTCTTCCCTCACCTTCAAGCCCGAGCCGCACAGTCCAGGGACCACATTGCTCGCTGCTGTCCGCGGGTCGGGTCGCAATGGTCGGAAATCCGAAGTCTGGCTCTAGGGAGTTGGTACCTCCGCCCCAGTCAGAACAGCGGGACCTCAGGAAGTTCCCAACTCACTCACTAGAGGGCACCCGCGCGCTTCCCAGAGCACACCATCCTGGGGGCTTTTGGATTCTCATTCAGCACTCCAGAGTTTTACCTGCGCTTAGTTTAGAGATTTTCAATCTTTTAATCTCGTGGTACATATAAACTAATTATTAAAATTCTGTGGCACACCAAAAATATATTTTTTGCTGATTTGACAAAAAAAGTTATACATTTGATTCAATCATACTTGATGGCTATTGTGCTGTTGTAATTTTTTCTTTTTATTTGACAATCCAAGGGAAAAGAGCTCCGTAGCCCTGACTAAATACTCATGTATTGCATGTTTTAAAAATTCTTAACCGCACACCAGTGTGCCTCTTGCGGTATATCGGTTGAAAACCGCTGGCTTAGGTTCATGGGTAAGGAGCCCACAGCCTCCTCAGTGTGGGGGAGGAAGAGGAGCCCAGGCACAGCCCCCACTCTGAGTGAGTCAAGGGGTTGTCGGGGACGGGTAGTCCCGTCCTAGGTCTGTAGCTCCTCTTCACCTACATGAGCCTGTCTATTGTCTTTTTGCATTTCAGATCATACACACTTCAAATGTCAGAGTAACAGTGAGACCACAGAAACCTTCATTGTCATCTTCTTCCCTGCATACACCTCCATGTGCTGTAAAGGTTATTGTTAATGATCCTGTGCACACCAATGGAAAAGAAGTGCATGTTCTCTGTTTTACTTTTTATCCAGTCCTAGAGATCTCCCCGCTTTGTTTTCTCTGCCTCCTTAATCTACCACCAATGCATTTCCTGTAGCCCTCTTATGCCTCTTTCTTTCATTCTAATGTATTAAATAAGCTGCAAAACTGATATTCTCCAGAGCATTTTTTCCATCCATTGAGATTTTGCTTCCCAGCAATTGTTAGGTTGGCTCCAATAAACTCATAACAATTCTCAATGTTTGGACGTTTCTGACATCCACACTCTATGCACTGCAAACATCACCTCCACCCTACTCCTCCAATCTCAGAGAGAGGAAAGGCATTTTTGAGGCCAACTGCAGCTCTGAAAGCAGCCTGGTAGAGCAGGGAAAATACAGGCTTTTCAGTAAGTCAGGCCTAACTTGGATCCTACTGCCAACACTCATTAGCTATACAATCAAGTTTCCCCCCCTCCTTTAAACTGAGCATCTATTAACATATCACTGATATTTGAATAGAAATATTAATTGTTAAGAATCCTAAGAATTAATATCAGTGTCTGACAAGTTCCTGAAGCAGACTCCAACATGTAATATTAAATAAATGGTAGCTATTATAATTATTCATAATGAGTCCCTGTTCATCCTAAAAATGTCATGCATTATCTCTCCTTCTGTTTTCAGCCTCTCACTCGCAAATGATTTCATGCCTCAGATTATAAACAAGGCCAAATTTCTTCCATCTTTAAAAACAACAAAAACTCCTCTGTAAAGAAATCCACCAGCTCCCTCAGAGTATCATCACTCCTTCTCATGAAAGGAGAACTTCCACAAGAGGGAAGGAATCCTTGGCTTGCCCAATGCCTGGTTCTTTAGATTCTTATTTCTAGTGAGACTCTCTCATCTGGCTTTTTCAATCAGAGGATTGGCTGATTTCATCAATTCTGGAAAGTTCTCAATGTTTATCTTTTCAAATGTTGTCTCTGCTCCATTCTCTCTCTTTCCCCTCATTCTGAAATTTCAATTAAACATTTATTAGGTTTTCTTACTGCATCTTCTATCTCAATCATTTTCCCTTCCATCTTTTTCATCTTTATACCTCTCTGGGCTCCATCCTGCATAGTTTCTTCTGACTTATCTTTTTTTCCACTAACTCTTATTAACCCTTCCTTTAGTTCTTAATTGGATTGTTGTACTTTTCAGTTATAGAATATCTAATTAGTTTGTTTTCTTGAGTCTGCAATGCTGCTTTCAAAACTTCCAATTCCTTGCATAAAACGTATTTCTATTACTTCCACGGACATCAGAATAACTGCTTTATTACAGGTTGTATCTAGTAACCCTAACATCAGGGAGCCCAGTGGGTCTGTTTCTATTGTCTGTAGCTTCTGTTGATTCTGATTCATACTGTTTTTGTCTCAGGTGCCTCATGTGCCTGTGCGCTTTCTGGTCATTTTACTTGAAATAACTGTTCAGTAAATTAATTTGAGACCTAGGATCTTCTTCCAGAGAGGATCCTCCTTTCCTTCTGCCAGCACAGGAGGGCACTCATTCCAGGACCAGGGTTTGAGAGTATTCTAGGTGACCACAGAGTCAGTTCCCGCCCCACTTCCAGTTACAGCTCTTTGGGGTTCTACCCTGATGGACAGTGAACACACCAGCTCTGTCCCCCCAGCCCTATGTTTTGGATTCTGAGGATTGGCAGACAGCCCCAAGGTAAAAATGTCATGGAAATGAGGTGGCAAGTGACTCCTGTGTGTCTTCAGGACACTATGGAATGCAGTATCACTCCTCCACTCCCTAAGAAGCTTGGCCTGTTAGCTGCCTTCTCCCAGTGGGTGAACACATCTCATGTAAGGAGTAAACATTCACTCATTTAGACTCTGTTCTCTTCCCTGTTCTACCCTATCAAGTTCTCTTTTTTGGCAGGCCTTCAGTAGTGGTTTGATGTCTCCTCTAACTTCTGCAGTCTCTGTAGAGGGAGGATGGTTTATCCCTTCATCTACCATTACTGGGAGCAGGTGCCATGGGATCTCCTGTGGCCCTGATACCACTTCTTCTCTGGCTGAACTTAGATCTTTCTTTTTATTCATCCACAGTTGAGCTTTACATGGGGATAACAGGGGAGCCTTACAACACAGAGAGCAAGTTACGACTAGCCACTGGAGGTGGCCTCACCCATGCCTCTGGGTCCACAAGAGGGCTCTGGGTCCCGCCAAGAGGCCATCCTTGGTCTCTCCAACCATTCATCAGGATATATGGTGTCACTGGTGTGAATACTTGGCTTCTGATGAAATAATCTGATAAGGTTTGATTCGGAACTCAGTGTAAGTGGGTGGACAGGTTTTCTTTGATGTGAGCAGACCTCTCCTAGGTGAGCCACCTGGGAAAGAGGCCTATTCTTAGTTAGATAACATTCACTCAAACTTGTTGCCTTCTCCACAAAGCCTCTTCTCTTTCCCCAACATAGACAGTCTCTCCCTGCCCTGTCTCCATGGCCCTTTCTCAGTACCTGCCATGGAGCCCACATCACACTCCACCTTGTATAATCAAGATTTTATGTACACATCGTGTCTTCCCTTTTGTTCTTGCTTTATTTTGTTTGCTTTGGTTGAAGAGGCTTGGTTTATTCCTACTTTGCTTAGTCCATGCCATATTATTATGCTTGTTCTGCACAAAGCCCTTTACTTATCTTAGAGATTAACTTATTCTCTTTTATCCCTATTCCCTACTTTCATTCCCCTCCCCCCATAGGTCATTATTTTACTGTTAATGGGCATCTTTATTTGAATGTTTTCTTGTAAAGTGTGCATTGTTGATTTATATGCATATATTTTAGAGTTTATGTGAATGGTATATGCATCATATCTTACTCTGTTTTCTCTGTTTTCTTACTTTGTTTTTGTCATGTTAATGTGTTGCTGTGTGACAGCTAACTCAAGCTGTCTAACCTCTGCAAAATGTCCCAACATGTGCAGTCACCTCACTCTCCCAGGAAGGAACACTCAGATTGCCTTCAACTCCCTGTAGAAGTGTGTCATAATAAACAGCTTTATAAGAGATTCCTAATGGGTCTATGCAAGGATTTCCCTGGAATATACATCCAGGAACAGGATTGCTAGGTCATAGGATGTGCCTATGTAGGACTCCATTGGACCAAACAGAACCAGGCACCTTTCCAGAATGGCTCCCCTGTCTACATTTTCATCACTGACACAAGATTGACTTCTGTGTTACCAAATCCTTCCAACCTAGCATTACCAGGCTTTTTGATGGTTGCCAGTTTAATAAATGCAAAATGATATCTCATGATTGTTCAAATTTGCATTTTTCAAATTATCAGTGATTCTGAGCATCCTATCATGTGTTTCTGTTGCCTACTTGTCTATCTCTTTTGCCCATTTTTCTACTGTAATTGCTGGGGGTAGGGAGGATTATTGATCACTAGAATTTCTTTGAGTAGTCTAGAATGACTTTAATACCTTGTGAGTTTTAAACATTGGAAGTGTTTTCTCCAATTCTGTTACCCATTAACTTCCTTTTATGTCCTTTATAGAACAAAACTACTTCATTTCATGTAATCAAACTCATTAAATGAATTAACCATTTACCCATATGATTTGAGTTTTTAAAACTATAAGTTTTTTCATATCCCCAAAACATGATATATTTTCTTTCATTTTCTTCTAGTAACTTTACAATTTTATCTTTGACATGTAGCTCATATCTCATTCTAGGATCTACCTTTGTATGCAGTGTTAGGTAGAGATTCATTTTTATGTTCTTCCTTAGAGTGAGCATATTTTCTCAACACCAGCCACTAAGTAACCCATTCTTTCCCCCTTAGATTTGTGGTGCCACCTTTGTCACATTATGTTCCCATGGCCAGGCAGGCCTGCCATGGGAAAGACCAATTACAGCAAGAGCACACCCAGCTCTGCCTCCCATGCAACTGTCTGCCCAAGCCCATATGCATCTCTCAGCTTTGCGGGTGTACAAAGACCCAGCTGGAGGACTTTGTGGGTGGTGGGGCACTGTATCATCCCCAAAGAAAGGCCTGAGTAGCAGTGCCAAGGCCCTTGAGCCAGCCCTGATGAAGTTCAGAAAGGCTACTGGGCTAAAGGACTCCAGAAAAGCCACTGGGGTCTGAGGCAGCCACACTGGGTCAATTCTAAGATGAGTTCAAGGGCAAAGGAATAGGAGTAGAAAGGAGCCCATTCTATAACATAATATAACGGAGGAGCCATACTATAAAAGAGAGCAGGAAAGGAGGAAGAGAGACAACCAAACATCTTTATTAAGGTGGCGCTGGGGTCATGTGGAGATAAAACCCCTCACCTCATGCAGGATTCTTGTCACAAACCACAAAAACTCTCTCTGGAAGATTTAAGCAGAAATGGGGTTTATTAATCATTTGGAAGGCTAAGCACCAAGCCTGAGTCCTGTACAGGTGTATAGGGCCTGTGCCCGTCAAGGGAGATCACTAAGGATGAACCTAGCATTGCCAGCTCCTTATGGGGAGCTGAGCTCTGTCTCCTACTTGGCCATTACCTATAGGAATTCTTTAGATAGAGGAAAAAAGTCCAGATGCTGAGCAGCCAAAGAGAATGTGTCCACTAATCTCTTCCTCTCATTACCCATCTGTGCCCTCTGAACTTCATGGACCTGAGAACCTGAACTTTGTTAATAGTCAAAATTCAGAGCTAGCTGATACCCTAGGGGTCCTAAACAAGAGCCATGGTAAGAAGAAATACTATGACACCAAAGAGAGTATTTGCTACATAGGAGGAGGGCATCTCATACTATAACCCCACTCATCTTCATACCCTGAGCATCCAAGTGACTTAGTGGTTTCAAAAAAACTGGAAGGCTGGTTCTTAACTTGACCCCAGCCCAATACAGCCCCAGATACATACTCAGAGGAGGAGAGAGTCTAGGTGGAGGACCTGGAAGTGCGGTCTTACAGAAGAGTTGAACCTGCAGAGCTCAGAGAATTTTCCTGAAGGCCACCCCCCACCCCCGTCTCCAGTGTGAAAAGCTGTTTTCATCTCATTAACACAAGCATCATTTCCTGGGGGGAGCTGCCAGGGA